TCAACATCTATCCTCGGTTAAGAATTAAAATGCAGAATGCTTTGTCACCCCTAAGGAATATGTATTAAGGATTTATTGAATTAAGGATTGTTTCGATTCCAGTAAAAAGGGTCTCCGGGTTTCTACATCACCATAAACCATAAAGAACCACAGCAGCATTAAACTGCTATTTTACGCAGGTATTCTGCGAGAGCGTGGCCCTTCCCCGGTTGTGCCAACCCATTCGTGCTACAACCATAATATGCTGCAGCGTGGCCTAATACGCATAAAAAAGGCTGTAATCGAAAAATGAATGAGTGAATATTTTTAACTGCAATTATTATTTTTTGTCATTTGAAAAAAGAACACAATCATGTAAACACAAAAGAAGAAAAAGGTTTCCTCTCCGGCTGATATTTCGTATCTCTCCTGCCCGGGGTACAAATTGGAGCACTCCTTTGTGCCTCGGGCTGGAGTTTGCGTGTATGTCAGAGAGGACATCTGTTCTCGACGCCTCGGCAGTCTTGAAGGTTCGGACCTGTCCATCCTTTGGCTACGCGTAGACAGCGACGACCATCCGCGCGTCTACGGGTGCCTCTATAGGTCCCATAGCGGTAATGCCGAAACAGACCGACTCATCGACCACGTCCAAATGGCTACAGATTCCTTGCTACAACAGGTCCCATCCGCAGAGATCGTGATCCTTGGCGATTTTAACGCCCACCATGCCGAATGGCTCGGTTCACGTTTAACCGATCATGCGGGGAGATCTGTTTATGACTTTGCTTTGGCATATGGTCTGACACAACTGGTTACTTCGCCTACACGGATTCCAGATGTGGAGGATCATACACCTTCCCTGTTGGACCTTCTGCTGACCTCTCATCCGGACGGATATCAGGTTTCCGTCGATGCCCCTCTCGGCTCTTCGGACCATTGTCTGATCCGGAGTATGGTGCCACTCACGCTCCCTTCGCGGTTGCGTTCTGCAGGTTGCCGCCGTGTTTGGCATTACAGGTCGGCGGATTGGGACGGAATGCGGTCTTTCTTTGCATCCTACCCATGGGGGCGTGTTTGCTTCCCGCCGGATGATCCCAGCGCAGTTGCTGACTCTGTCACTGATGTGGTGCTACAGGGAATGGAACTATTTATTCCATCATCTGTGGTACCCATTGGAGGCAGATCTCAGCCTTGGTTTGGTCGCTCCTGTAAGACTGCATTGCGCAGAAAGCAGGAGTGTTATCAAGCCTGGGCTGCGGCTTCGGTGACTCGGGATGTAAACACCAGCACACTTAAAAAGAAGTATAACTTCGCCTCCAGGTCCTTCAAAAGAGTTATTGCCAAGGCAAAGTCTGAGCACATAGGCAGAATTGGCGAGAAACTAGTTCGCCTTCCTTCGGGAACCCGTGCATTCTGGTCTCTCGCCAAGGCTGTCCAAGGGAATTTCTGTAAGCCATCACTACCATCTCTGCACAGGGAGGACGACTCACTGGCCCACGACGCAAAAGAGAAGGCCGACCTTTTAGGCTCCCTTTTTGCGTCCAACTCGACTGTTGATGACGGGGGGAACACACCGCCGACCATCCCGCGGTGTGAGTGCTCTATGCCGGATGTGCTATTCTCACAGCGCTCGGTTCGCAGAGCACTCCTCTCCCTTGACATCCACAAGTCGAGTGGGCCTGACGGAATCCCCCCAATTGTGCTGAGGACGTGTGCTCCGGAGTTGGCACCGGTTCTAACGCGTCTTTTCCGGTACTCCTACTCCCATGGCGTTGTCCCGAACTCATGGAAGACAGCTTTTGTCCACCCGATCCCTAAAAAAGGCGACCGCTCAGACCCGTCCAACTATAGGCCTATCGCGATCACCTCCTTGTTCTCCAAAATAATGGAATCCATTATTAACTGCCAGCTCATCCGGTACCTTGAGGATCACCAGCTGATCAGTGACCGCCAATACGGTTTTCGTCGGGGTCGATCAGCTGGTGATCTTCTAGTCTACCTGACCCATAGATGGGCGGAGGTAGTAGAGTCCAAGGGGGAGGCGTTGGCTGTTAGTCTGGACATTGCGAAGGCCTTCGATCGGGTTTGGCACAAAGCGCTTCTTTCGAAGCTCCCTTCCTATGGGCTTCCCGAGAAATTGTGCAATTGGATCACCAGCTTCCTTGCAGATCGGAGCATCAAGGTCGTTGTAGACGGTGCATGTTCTGACTACAAGCCTATTAACGCTGGTGTTCCACAAGGCTGTGTGCTATCACCAACGCTGTTTCTTCTGCATATCAATGATATGTTGCTAACTGGTAACATTCATTGCTATGCGGATGACAGCACTGGTGATGCTCTATACACCGGCCGGGCCAATATTTCTCGGGAAAACGTCGCCGAGTACCGGAACAAACTTGTGTCTGAAGTCGAGTCTTTGCTGGACAAAGTCTCGGATTGGGGGCGACTAAATCTAGTCCAGTTTAATCCTCATAAGACACAAGTTTGCGCGTTTACCGCTAAAAAGAACCCCTTTGTCGTATCTCCTCAGTTTCAAGGCACTCCCCTTCTTGCCTCAGCCAGTATCGGTATCCTCGGAGTCGACATATCGAGTGACGTGCAGTTTCGTGGTCACTTGGAAGAGAAGGCCAAATTGGCCTCTAAAAAGCTTGGCGTGCTCAGCAGGGCGGGACAGTATTTCATGCCGGCACACCGCCTGCAACTTTACAAGGCGCAGGTTCGGCCTCACATGGAATACTGTTCCCATCTCTGGGCAGGGGCTCCCCAGTGCCAGCTCCTTCCACTTGACCGCATCCAGCGCAGAGCGGCTCGAATCGTCGATGACCGAGCCCTTTCCGATCGGCTCGATTCATTGGCACTGCGAAGAGATGTTGCATCTCTTTGCATTTTCTTTCGCATCTACCATGGGGAGTGCTCTGAGGAATTGTTCGGATTAATCCCAGCCGCCAAATTTCATGAACGCACATCGCGGCAGAACTCTCGATACCATCCACACCATCTGGATGATTGGCGGTCCACCACTGTGCGATTTAGAAGATGTTTTCTTCCTCGCACGACTTCCTTGTGGAATCGATTACCATCAGCGATTTTTCCGGACCGATACGACTTAGGGACCTTCAAGAAAAGAGCCTACTCCTTTTTAAAAGGCCGGCAACGCATCTGCAATTCCCCTGGTGTTGCGGTTGTTCATGGGCGGCGGTAGTCACTTACCATCAGGTGAGCCGCATGCTCGTTTGCCCCCTCTCCTATAAAAAAAAAAAAAAAAAAAGAAAATAATACAAGCATGAACACTAACGCAGTGGTTATATTCTGTGTGATAAATAAAATTATTCCATTTTCAATATGTACAGTATGCCAATTTTATTTAAGATTTTACCAGACTGATATTACTCCATGGTATTTTGAATTACAACTTCATGTTTCATTATTAAATGTGGAAAGGTATTTTCGCTTTATATTTTGAAGATAAAGCTTTCAGATGAAATTATTATTCGTGAAATATGACTTTTCGGCCCACCTTCCTTAATATTTAGGGCGCTGTTGTGAGTTAAGGAAATAATACAATGAATGTTATACCTCTCATGAGCAACGTAATATTTGGAGTTTTTCTTTTTTGTAAATTTATGTTAATGATTTGCGCACGCCTTCTAAGAAAACACTTCCATTTATATTCTATTTTACTAAAATACACATTAAGGATTATAACAGCTCATTAAAAATACTCTTTTTACTGGTAAAGCGGCATTTCATCTTACCCAGAAGCATAAAATACAAATAACAAGGGTGGCAACCATTGAGTTATATGTACTACGTACTAGAGAAACCATTACAAACAAAAATTGTGTCCTACTCTATGTCTTCGCGCATGCGCGGGAGTAGTAGTCGCGCATGCGCGAAGACTTAATATGAAATAAATATAAGAATTTAATATAAAATATCTTAATTTAATCTAAACAAACGTATTTCTAAATAAAATGTAATAATAATTATTTTATGGAATTCACAAATCTTCAATTTACGCAATATTTAGTTAGTATGGATTGCACTACAGTTCAGTTGAACATAGTCAATGTTCGAAATGGCTTCTCTAGTACGTAGTACATATAACTCAATGGTGGCAACCATTCTATCGCTCCTTACTTTTACTATTAATATCAACATTATTTTTATATATTTTTTATGGATATTGGGGCATATGTCAGTCATATATAGACGGATCTGCAAAATTATTTTTTTTTGATCGAAATAGGCTTATTCCGAAATGGTCCCATTTAAATTTCAGACAACGGAACTCTTCAATAAATACCAGCAAATCAACCGCGATTGCTGCAATCGTATTATGCCTTTACGCAATCACACAACATAAGATCACGCCTATACTCTCTAAAGGGGTACGCAGATGTATTATACTGAATGAAATCACGATATATCCTAATTTCTGTCAAAGTTGTTATATTGAAGTCGGTTGTACAATTTTTTTTTATTTAATTACTTGTCATTATAAGACTGTAAACAGTCAAATGTTAGAGACCTCGGGTCCCCCGTAGTAGGGTGAATTTGCCTTAATCGCTACTCCTGGCACACGAATTGGATTATGAGACATTATGTAAGCCATATGATCGTCTTGGAATTTTCCATAGAGTCCTCTTCTGACTCCGACGAGACGAAATGGGGCGATGAATTCTTTTACATGGACGTAGGCTTCCTCATATATTGTCCTATAGGGGTGATATTTGCCATAGTTGCCACGCTCGACAGAAGCGTTGGTAAACGCATTTTTTATTTCTTAGCTGTTACTTGAAAGACGCTGTTGGCCATCTCCTAGTTTGTTTACTCCTGTCGCTTCTTACGACACCCACTGGACGATATAAGGTAGTGGATATTCTTACACCGCAACTACAGGACACCCTCTTTCAGTTATAATGCAGTCAATACTTTCGTTTTATATTAAACTAACATTTATTTTATAAATTATCTAAATTCATATTTCAACCATTATAATTATTTTAATTGTTAAGAACTCACCTTCCTCCTCTAAGTGTCATCCTGTCCAACTTTCGGCAGAGTTTTCCATTTTGGCACAGCTCCGACATCTGAGCGGACGCCTCCGGGTCGGTGGCGAGAGTCTCTAACACGAAGTCAGCGGGATTGTGCGTTGATGGACATATGTGACCAATTTCGGCCAGAAACGGAATGAGCAGGGGAGCCGCGCCCTGTTTAATATAAATACTTTGGATAAAATATGCAATCAAACTACAATAAAACACAAAATTTAATTATGAAACAGGTACAGTTGTAATGAAGTCGATTATTATTTATTGAGAATATGTAAATCACGAAGGAATATAGATTAAATTTGTCATAAGTCATCATCATCATTACAGCCCTTGAAAGTCCACTGCTATACATAGACCTCCCACAAGTAATGTCACAAAGCACGGTCCCGAGCAACCTGCACCTATTCTTATGAGATTTACTTGATTTCCATCAATAAAATAATCTCATAAAATCATAACACATATGTACAATATTAACAGATGTATATAAGTTGGCTTGAAAATGATACTATACTTATGGAATTTGCCTATTAACTAGTCAGTTGTCAATACCTTGGCTTACTTATTCTTATTCGTTCGAAGAATGTCGGTGTCTTTCTCATGGACGTTCCATCTTGTTCTTGTGCCGGAAAATGATAGTTTTATTGTGAGAATGAAATTATGATAAAGTTGTGTACAAATAAAATGTCATTTATATAGACAATATTTATATTGAAGGATTCTGTTGGCGACCGTTCTGTTAAAGTATATTTACGCACATATTTGCATGTATTTTTAATATACGTAAATAATACTCCCTGTGTATATTTATCGCAGATTATATACACAATGTTAACATCAAAGAACGAATACTTTTATTGTGTAAAAAAACGTTTACAACATGTTGCGGTTCTTTCAATTGTGTTCATTCTAAACGCTAGTTGATGTAACCACAATGAATAGTATTATGATAATAAATTTTGTGGTTTCTAAGTTTAAGACAAGGCTTCTATATATGTAATATCTAATTATATTTCAAGATTTGCTATATATATTAAATTTAATACTTAAAAGGAACAGAAACATTATTTTTGTAACGTGGTAGAGCCATGATGCAGCGAGGTATATTAACGGAGACCCCTTTTTACTGGAAACGAGGCATTCTATCTTGGTACTCAGGGGTGAAAAGGGTATCCGGTTCTCTAGACTCACCATACGAAATACGGCAGCATTAAGCAGCTATTTTACACCGGTATTCTGTGAGAGAGTGGTTCTACCTCGGTTGAGCCGACCCATTCGTGCTAAAACCTTAATATAGCTGCAGCGGGACTTTAACACGTAATCTGAATTTTGATGCTTAATTGAGAATAAATGTAGATGTCTATGGTCCACAGCATCCATTTACTATCACGTGGACTGTGAGCTTGTTTGTCACCTTTATACTATAAAAAAAATATTCAGCCTGGTTATAATTTGTTTGATAGGTAGCATTAATCTGACGATTGAATAATCGGCCAAGTACGAGTCGGATTCGCGCATGAAGGGTACCATCCATACCATTGTACAAGATTTTATACTATGCATGAAAAAAAAAACACGTTTCTAGTAGGGAAGCCACCTTTAATTTTTTATTATTTTTTATTCTTATTGTTATAGCGGCAACAGAAACACACATTCTGTGAAAATTTCAACTCTCTACCTATTACGATTTATGAGCTTGTTGATAGATAGACAGACGGACAGCGGAGGCTTAGTAATAGGGTCCCGTTGATTACCCTTCGTGTACGGAACCCTAGAAATCGGCTCTTAGCCCAGAACAATAACTAAAGCATTATTGTTCTGAGGTTCTTAGTTACATGTGTTAAAAAAACATATCTTTAAATGTTTTATATCCCATTTCTTTTTAGGGTTCCGTAGTTACACAACAAGGAACTCTTATAGTTTCGCCATACCGGTCCGTCCGTTCGTCCGTCCGGCCGCGGTTTTGCTCAGAGACCCTAGGTGCTACAAATCTGTAATTTAGCATAGTTATAGATATTAACCACGCTTCAAAAACTGTAAAATAATATCTTAAAAAGCAGTTATATTTTAGGTACTTCACATACAAGTAAATAGAGGATGATTTATATCGTTAAATATGTTTTTCAAAAATACTGGGGGTGTAGATAAACATCTTTTCGATTCAGGGGTGCGTTTACGAAAACTATAACTAAACCGCTTTTTTGGAAATGTGAAAAGTGTACACGATAGTAGTCTATATAATGTAGTTAAAAGTAAAACTATCACAACTGAGTATAATTTTGAAGTTAGAGTAATAGTTGACCAACTTATAAAATTTACTTGCGTTAGTAAAAATTTCGTTACAACTCCATAGAAAATGATCTAAAATTAGCTGCATTATAACTTTGTAATGTTATTGTAAACTGTTAAAAATAATCATTTTATGTGAAGAAAACGAAGGCATGCATTTAATGCAAAGTAAAAAAATACTAATATAGTTACTTTTTCATTTGCGGGATAGGCAGGGCGGATTTTTCTTACTTACTTACTACTTTCACTTATTTTTTAGTTGGTAGTTATTGTAGACCTCATTCAAAGTATTCATACAATCATTTAGCCTCATACAGTTTCATTCGTCACACTCTTGGTTTACGCGGGCGACCTCAGGATAATTTAAGGCAGTGGTGGTTTACGTGAAGGTTCGTTACGGTCAAATATGTATAGCTTAGGGTTGCACTGCCTGGAATATATTTATAGATCGTCAACTATGATCGTCTTTGTACCTTGGCATGTTAATGATTTGATGTAAATTATATTATTTTCAAAATAGTAAAGGTCTTTAATTTTTTTTAAAAACACTTCCTATAAGACTGATTTGAAAATAAGTTCTTCAGTTACGATCTTCTTATTTGGGCCGTTATAGTCGTTATAGCGGTCAAACCATGAACCTCAATTATTATGCTCATTATCTTGAACTTGATAATGAGAATAATAAACGTGAGGTTTGTGGTTTCTTTGAAAGCCCACGTATTGTGACGGGCAACTACGGAATCCTGCCTCTACATTTTGCGTGGCTTGACACGCACTTGGCCAGATTTTTTCACTAAGTTTTGTTTACTATCTTACCATTAGGTAATTGTTGCTGTAGCCGAAGAAAAGGTATAAATCCCACTTTGAATTTGTTAGACGAAAGCTTTTTTGTTCTTGTTTTGATGACACCCTTATTGTTATCAGAGGGAAATAAGGAAAGAGGGGCACTGGCAAATTATGTGGAAGAAATGGTGTCACGGGAACGGTTATTATAACCGTATTGCCGGTGACAGTCTACTAAGCGCAAACACAATACGGCCGTTGAGAGTATTATTCATATTATAATCGGAGTGTCATAAAGTGCTAACTCTGGGTGATAAAATCCACAAAATGAAATTGTGAATTTACATTGTAGAATTAGAGTTGCTAACATAGTTTAAAGGATTTTGAGTAGCTGGCTTGAGTCGGCAATTACATTGTAGGACAAATGGGATGACTTGAAAACGATGATCTTTGTTGTTAAAAGAGTGTATATGTATGTATCTTAAGCGGGGTACAACTAACAGAGGTATGATGAAAATTTCTGATGAAAAAATGAACATAAATGTTATAATCAATAAGGAAAACGGTTCCGTGGCGCAGTGGCTTAGCAATGAGTTGCAGTGCTAAGGGACGCGGGTTGGAATCCCGCACGGAACAAGTAATTGTATGGCCTACAAATAATTGTTCTGGTTCTGGACGTTTGTCTTTGTGAAATCTATGTATGTAAACTGCCGCCGCGATACAGGATCAATTTATTTATTAAAAAAATTATGGATTAAAGAAAAAAATGAAGAAAAAAAACGTGGGTTTCATTATTTATTCATATTTCTTAGTTGACGTAAAATAGAAAGACACGAAAAACACCAACTACGAAAGGATAAGTAATACGCGAGCGTATTTATCACTGGCAAATACAATTACCGTGATGTAATTAAATTGAACTTCAAAGGTAGCAGCGTACAGTACTATACAGGTTATTGTACAATTATATGGTACTGTAATACTCAAATATAACATTTTTTTCATGATGTAGATGTACTAACATGATATACGTGGTAGAGACATGCTGCAGCGATGTTATTAGTATAGTTGTGGCACGAATGGGTCGGCTCGACCGGGAAGGACCACGCTCTCACAGAATACCAGCGTAAAATAGCTGCTCAATGCTGCTGTGTTTCGTATGGTGAGTATAGAGAACTAGAGACTCCTTTTTACTGGAAAAGAGGCTTTTCATCGTAGTTCTCACGGCTGACAACGCATCTGCATTTTGATTCATACTCAAGGATAGATGTAGATATTTATGGGCCACACACTTACCATCAGGTGAACTGCGTGCTCGTTTGTTACCCTTATCTGATTTAAAAAAAAATTCTGGTTGTCTCGCTTACTTACTGTATTCGTATGCACACAAATTTTGCTTAAGAGTTATTATTTTATTATGCTTTGTCTGTCTGTTTTGTGTATCATAATGAATAAATAAATACTTAGGTAGGAAAATAAATTCAAAATGGCTTCTATCATGGAATATTTAGGTTTAAAATGGTTATTATTAAATGTTAATGGTTAGGTTAATGGTTAGGTTATTAAACACAGGACTGATGAAGATGTACAGAACACAAAATGAAATATTTAAATGAATATGAATAAACGGATGGATTTAAATTTACCTGGTAGCAACACATGCCCCTTGAAACAATGTACACACGATCGAACAGAGAGAACAGCGATGCAGAGGGCTGATGAACAGTGCAGATGATGGTCCGGCCTTGACGTGATAGCAAACGAAGAAGCACCACCAGTTGCCTGATGGACACGACGTCCAAACCGCTGAAAAATTTCATTTCCATTAATTTTCATGGCGATCATGAGTTTGCAATTCCAACTTTATAGACTTGACTAAACTAGTTAGACGAATGGGAATAATACGGCAACTACTTAAGTTACCCACATCCGTCCTTAGGAACCGCATTACTACATATTATGTACGTAGTACCGTACATAGTACGGTCGGGTAATTGTGGCTTCACGTTCGACTGTGGTCTAATTACTTTGGTTGACATAATGATTACTTATATTTACGCGAACACTAAACATTAAATAAAACTACTTTTATGGATTTTTTCGCGTTTAATTAACTTATTTGTCTTATTTTTATTAATTCCCGACGTGGTCCGTGGTCACGGGGGACTGAGGTGATTGACGTCCCGATGTCAGAGTTAACCCGAAGTACCTTCAGCTTTTTTAATTATTAATTTTGGTCCGATCTACGCAGAATGAACTTACTGTGTCTTGAAGTCTTGCAGTGGTATGCTTAAGTGAAGTGAGATGAAATAATATCCATCTCTCTCGCACTTTCTCTTATCTTGCCATGATAGAAATATTATTTTATTTCAAATAACGCTTCATTTTAATAGACGCTAGTGATTCATTTATTTGTATTTGTTGATCAATAATATAATACCTACGTTTATCAATAATAATATACTACGCAAGGAACTTCGTTCCAACCGAGTGTTCCACGACACTGATTCTTTTAATTTTTTTTATTTTTAGTCGTTATTAGGAAGACGCTGTTGCCCATTTCATGGTTTGTTTCCCTTTGTCGCCTCTTACGACGCCCGCGGGACTATATGGGGTAGTGGATATTCTTACACCGCCACTACCCGGCGGTGTACCCAACGGAACCCTATTACTGAGTTTACCTGTCTCTCTGGCTGTAACTTTTTAATCATTAGTAACTATAATGGTCATTTTAATGGTATTTTAATAAAAAAAATTAATTATGAAACGAATAAAGTGCTTAAGCCTTAGAGGGTCTTTATATAAGAAACCTCGAAAGAAAAACATTTCCAAGGTTTTTTGTTACTGCTCTATCTTAAAAATGATAATACCATCATTAAATCTATATATTTTTTTAATTTTCACTAGAACCACAACACTTCACGGAGTAAAAGCATCGACTTACTATCAAATGAACTATGTGTTCATTTGTCACCCTCAATCTATAAAAAAGGCGTTAGAATACATTATAGCAGCTGCTGTTATAGTGACATGGCATCTACCAAATACTTACGTAATTCCTTCTCTAATCCCAGAATAGACAATTTTGTTTTTCTAAATAAAGTCTGATACTCCATAAAACCCATCTTATTGGTAACCAATATTAACTCCGTAGGATTAGAGGAGGGTTGAGTGACTCTGTGTCTGTGCGTATAAGGTATACACAGTCACACAGTCACTCACCATTGTATTTTATATTCCTTGCCAACTATGAAGAAAGTCAACCAAAGTATTGAACAAAACTACTTTTACGGATTTTTTCGTGTTTAATTAACTTATTTATCTTATTTTTATTAATTCCTGACGTTTCGTGTGCTTTACAGCACTCGTGGTCAGGGGGACTGAGGTGATTGACGTCCCGATGTCAGAGTTAACCCAGCTTTTTTAATTATTAATTTTGGTCCGATCTACGCAGAATGAACTTACTGTGTCTTGAAGTCTTGCAGTGGTATGCTTAGGTTTAGTTTTAATTTTATTAATTACAGGATCCCAAGCAGGTGATTGTACCCAGCCTCCCTCTCTATTGAATTTAGGATGTTTTTTAATTTCAATAGCTTCACGTATCATCCTTGGCAGGAATCGATGTTCTTTCGCGAGAATTTGTGGTATATCAAATCTAATGTAATGGCGGGGATCGTCTAGGATATGATCGCAAACTGCAGACTTCTCGGAACGCTGCTGCTTCACGTCAGTCATCACAGTCGGTGACCATATCCTAGACGGCCCTCGCATAAGGCCCCGCGTTCTAAACCCAAGCATACCACTGCAAGACTTCAAGACACAGTAAGTTCATTCTGCGTAGATCGGACCAAAATTAATAATTAAAAAAGCTGGGTTAACTCTGACATCGGGACGTCAATCACCTCAGTCCCCCTGACCACGAGTGCTGTAAAGCACACGAAACGTCAGGAATTAATAAAAATAAGATAAATAAGTTAATTAAACACGAAAAAATCCGTAAAAGTAGTTTTGTTCAATACTTTGGTTGACTTTCTTCATAGTTGGCAAGGAATATAAAATACAATGGTGAGTGACTGTGTGACTGTGTATACCTTATACGCACAGACACAGAGTCACTCAACCCTCCTCTAATCCTACGGAGTTAATATTGGTTACCAATAAGATGGGTTTTATGGAGTATCAGACTTTATTTAGAAAAACAAAATTGTCTATTCTGGGATTAGAGAAGGAATTACGTAAGTATTTGGTAGATGCCATGTCACTATAACAGCAGCTGCTATAATGTATTCTAACGCCTTTTTTATAGATTGAGGGTGACAAATGAACACATAGTTCATTTGATAGTAAGTCGATGCTTTTACTCCGTGAAGTGTTGTGGTTCTAGTGAAAATTAAAAAAATATATAGATTTAATGATGGTATTATCATTTTTAAGATAGAGCAGTAACAAAAAACCTTGGAAATGTTTTTCTTTCGAGGTTTCTTATATAAAGACCCTCTAAGGCTTAAGCACTTTATTCGTTTCATAATTAATTTTTTTTATTAAAATACCATTAAAATGACCATTATAGTTACTAATGATTAAAAAGTTACAGCCAGAGAGACAGGTAAACTCAGTAATAGGGTTCCGTTGGGTACACCGCCGGGTAGTGGCGGTGTAAGAATATCCACTACCCCATATAGTCCCGCGGGCGTCGTAAGAGGCGACAAAGGGAAACAAACCATGAAATGGGCAACAGCGTCTTCCTAATAACGACTAAAAATAAAAAAAATTAAAAGAATCAGTGTCGTGGAACACTCGGTTGGAACGAAGTTCCTTGCGTAGTATATTATTATTGATAAACGTAGGTATTATATTATTGATCAACAAATACAAATAAATGAATCACTAGCGTCTATTAAAATGAAGCGTTATTTGAAATAAAATAATATTTCTATCATGGCAAGATAAGAGAAAGTGCGAGAGAGATGGATATTATTTCATCTCACTTCCTTATTTCGCCGCCAGGACCACAGAGTAAAGAAGACTTCTTTACTCACGTGCCAGGACCGTCTACACTACGACACAAGGGGTCGTGACGAAAAAATCATACACTTTTTGTCGCCTAGCTCCCATCCGCCAAACCCGTACCGTCCGATAAAGAACTTCGTTCCAAAAAACTGCGGTAGCCAATCCGCTTATCAAGCGTGGCAACTATAGCAAATATTCCTTCTATGAGGCAATCTATAGGAAGGCCTATGTACAGCAGTGAACTTAAACAGGCTGTAACACAGACATCTACATCTATCCTCGATTAAGAGTCAAAATGTAGTTGCGTTATCACCCCTGAGATTAAAATAGAATGCTTCATTACCAATGAGGGCTAATAATTTTCTGCTCACCAGATGTCGCTAGTTTACACTGAGGAAAGTTTTTTGTTACACAACGTCATTTGATAGAGAAGTTAATTTTTAATAAAAGTTTATTGGTTTCAAAAGCATTATATTAATACAAAAACAATACATCAATGGCTTGCTCTTTAATTTTTTGCACATTTTTAACTTTTATTAAATTTTTTAACTTTTATGAATTTCTATGGTTTGGTTTATTTAGTTTTAATCTTATTAATATAAAATAAAGCTAATACCACAGCAAGAAACATTAACCTTTACATTTTCCAAGCAAATTAACTTCCCCGCTATGATATCTGTCAAATGTTATACCTTACTTTTAAGTGGCGCCGCCCTAGTGGCAGAAAAAGTCATGGATGTCTTCATTAAAGAGGGTCTTTGGTTTCTACACTCTCAATACCACGCAACGTTATGCTATTTTCCGCTGATATTCTGCGAAAGCATGATCCTTCCCGGTTCGGGCCGACCCATTCGTACTGCGACCATAATAGAGTTGCGGAGTGACTCTATCACGTTAAAACAGTGCTCAAAATAGCAAAATTCTTTCACCTATATTCCATTTGAATATGTGTTGCAAATGCAAAGTATTAGATACTTAGGCCTGAATACAATCAAATACTTTAGTTGTGGTAGCCGGTAACCAGGATATACATATCCTCAGTTATTATTACAGTTATAGTAAGATTACTAAATTGAAGGCAGTAATAATTTAATCAGCGTAAAGATTACACTTGTTTTAGAATTGTGTTAAAATTATGTTGCTGGATTAAAATGTCGTCGGGAATTGAGTACTATCCTGCATGTTTGCGGAGACAATAGCGGTACCATTATAAATGTTTGCAATAGCTCGCAATTGCCTACATTGAAGCAACCACAATTGTTGCCATTCCGACAACAACTTGTGCACAGACTGAAATACAGTTGATGCGAATAGTGCTTAGAGGAAGATCGCTAGTCTCAATAAACTAGGTCTAAGGTGGTTAATGTCATTTTTACAATGTTATTTTTAGAGGCATCATTGCTATATTATGTGCTTATTAATAAGTTTTAAACATATAATTAAAAATTAAAAATTGTGTACAACTGACTTAAATATATATATATATATATATATATATTATTAGGAATAACTCAAAAACTGTTGGTCAGACCTTGCTCAAATTTATGTGGGACCACGTGTGAAGTACCAGCTTTAAAATAAAAAGAATCATACAAATCAGTTCACCTAGTAAAAAGTTATGAGGTAACACACATAAAAAAGCATATAGTCGAGAATTTAATACCGTCTCCTTTTTGAAATCGGTATAAAATATAAAAGATGAACAGTGTAATAATAGTGTTCTTAGTGAAAATAAATTAAATTTTGACTTGCTGAGATGTTTCATTTTAATATTTTTTCTGCCTCAAATATATTAA